AACTGGTTTTTAGGCATAGGTATCCTGCAAATGACCGTGTGATCACGAAAAAAACCTATTTTTATGATATTACAAACAGTTCAATTCAGTTCAATTTTATATAGAAGAATTTGTATAGAAGACAGGTACATGTAGTGACCCCAAGGCACGACCTTTCTTTTCGAATCAATCGGTGTACTTGCTTGTTGTACTTAACGAAAATCGATTACAGCTAGGGCAAAATGTTGCCATAGAAAAATTAGAATCAGACCGTTCGGACCTTTGTACACATAGTAACGTGCCAATCTCTACAACATGCAAGTTTTATTACATCTTTTACAACTTGGCTACTTGTCGTCTTCACTCACTATCTAAAACATAATACATTTTGTTCATTGAAATATTGAAACAGTTAAATTAATTTAGGTCAGAGAAGTGCCATTTAGGCACTCAAATGCAGAAATTCCTAGGAATTCCAAATGCAGGCAATCAAAAATAGTTAATAACTAAATTATCGTATATATCATGGAGAGTGCTCTGATTCATTGTTCATACCAGCCGCAACTTGCCGCCATCGTTTCACACGGCAAACATTTTATCCCACCACTTGGGTAATTGGCACTCCACGACTGTGCGCTTTTCAAGACACTTTTTGCCTCGCACTACCAACCTGTGGAACAAGTTATCGTCTGCGGTATTTCCGAACCGACACAAGCTTCAAAGCACTTCAAACAAGAATTAGCGTAATCCTTCCTCAAAAGCCGGCAACGCGCTTGTGACTCCTGAGTTGCAGGCGTTCATGGGCGGCGGTAGACGCCATGGTTTCCATCAGTTTACACACGTCTGATCATTTGCCCAATCTTCTACAAAAATATGAAACGTCCTCTATAGCAAACATTTCATGGTAATTAAGTGAAATGAACTTTCCGGTTTTTTCATTGATAACCAAATCTGTCATGAGCTAATCCAGTAATTTGTAAATTAATAATTTGCATGTTTTTATTACTGTATTTTTTTTACGTAACCAATTTTTTATTTTGGTTAGTTGCATATAAAATAGAAACCAAAACTAAGATAATTTAAGTTCATACAAAAAAGGTTGTATGTACACCACTTCTATTAGTTGTGTATAGAGATGGTCTCTACAGAGAAGACTACGGTTCCAGACAAAAATTATCGTAAAATTAACTAAAATGAATATTCAAATTCTGGAGGATAAAAATATTTTGGGGGCTGGCAACATTGAGTAAAATTTGTTGTTCGCATTTTTATGCTCTAATCTCAGATTTGTTTGTGTACGAAGCTGTCGTCGTGTGAGCTGTGTGCGTGCGATTAAATTAAAAGTTGATTCATTGGTGGTGGTGTGAAGGCTTATGTGTGCGAATGCAGTAGTGTTTTCAATAGATATTTTGTGTACCATTATTCGATTTGCTTGTAAGTAGTCGATTTTTAATTCAATCAACTGTCGATTGTGTAGTTCAAAAAAGTATCAAATATCAAAATTATATAAAATAATTAAAAAGAATAAATCTAAACAGTATTTAATGATTTAATTATCTTTAATTGTGATAATAATTATCTAGTAAGTAACCATTATAATTTTATTTGAAGGCAAGAGTGTAGCCATGTTTACCTAGTCCTAATCTATCTATGACTGCCCTAATTGGTAGTTACTAAGGAATAAATTTATCACCTGCTCTTTGAGAATTTTGATTTTTTTAAATTTCGAAACATAAGTTAGTCAAAAAGTACGAAATATAAACCCGATAGCGTATAGTTGCGTAAAGAGCGTAGGAAAATTAGAATAGAAAGAGTTATTTAAAGCAATCACAAGAATGACTGGTAAATATTGGTATTGCAATAGCCTTTTATAAAGTAATTGTTGTGATTAATTTATGGGATCTACCAATAAGAACGTCCTGGTTTAAAAATCGAATAAAACACATTTTTTTATGAAAAATGCATCCGATTGATATATTTGATAGATAATTTTATGCAATTTATATTTTAAATAATATATCGGCCAAATGACCGCCGTGGCTCTTTTTGCAGACGGTCACCCGCTCACGCCAATTTTCGATGACGCGGTGCACCATTTAGAGTATGTCGGCTATTCCTCGTCGAATGTAGATTTTTAGGTCACAAATTATAGCTGGATTATTGCTGTACACTTTAGATTTAACGTAACCCTAAAGAAAATAGTCTAAAGGTGTTAAATCACACGATCTTGGTGGCCAACTCCATTTCTCGAAATTAACAACTCACCAAACTTTCCACGCAATAATTCCATGTTCACTCGAGTAATGTGAGGTGGTGCACCGTCTTGTTGAAAATAAAGGTCGTGCATCAATATCATCAAATTCCGGAAAGAAATATTTGGTTAACATCGAGTTATAGCGCTCGCCAATCACAGTAACAGGGTTTCCTTCGTCACTTTCAAAGAAGTACGGACCAAAGATTCCACCGTACCATAAACCGGACCGAACTGTTATTTTTTGCGGATGCAATAGCGACAATTTTGTTTATTAACAAATCCATTGAGCCAGAAATGGGCCTCATCTGAGAAGATGATTTTACGATGAAAATCGTCATCGGCTTCCATCATTTCCAGTGCATAATCGGCAAATTCACGACGGATACAATGGTCGGATGGCTTCAATTCTTGTGCCAAAACAATTTTGTACTGGTGTAGGCCCAAATCCAACCGCAAAAAACGCCAGGTGGTCATTGGAGAGAGCCCCAACTCTTGTGAACGGCGTTGAACTGATCGATTTGAATTCGCATCAACACTGGCCTGAACGGCTGCGATATTCTCTTCACTACGGGCATTTCTTTGTCTCACAGGCACAACAGTATCGTGGAGAGTGAATTCACTTTCAAATTTTGTTATTATGCGATTTATAGCGCGCACAGAAGGAGCACTATGACGACCGTTTTTTGCGCGAACAGCTCTTACTGTAGCGGTAGGAGAACGCGAATTTGCGTAATAATTTTCGACAATTTTCAAGCGTTGTTTTAAAGTGAAACGTGACATGATAAAATGGCAAATCTTACTGAACACAAATGTTAAGAGACGTCAAAGATCCATCATCAAACATGGCCGCTATGAGCTGTCAAAACCAGGTCATCCCTATTGGGAGACCTGGGATACCCAGTATATTGTCTGTCAGTATTGACTTTGTACATGCTAGGTTTTTTACTTACATAATTAGAATTGATTTTGGCGAAATTGTGGTAACATATACCACAAAGCCATTAATCAAAAGTTGAAGTTGATAATTATATTTTTTAATGTGTCATTTGTTTATATTATTTATAGATAACATTGAAGCGGATTAATATCGAAGGTAGCACCAATGACGATGTCTTGAAAACTCCAGAAATAAAAGGGAAAGCAGAGGGAGACCATAACCATACCATTTTTGGAATATTGAGGCAAATACTATTAAAAAATAACTATGAATTTAAAAAGAATGTATAATAGTAGTCAAGCAGCTCAGATGATTCGGATGTCGGTGTTGAATATTTGGAATTTGATTTTGAATGAAATTTCTTTATAAATAAATGTATGATTTTGGGGTACACTACATAATTACGAAAAACTTTATTCCGTCAGTCACAATTCCGAACATAACAACACCGATTTTCATAATGCCGAATAGTTCAAAATTCCGAATACAACAACACATCCTATTTTTATGATTCAAAACTTCAATATTCATAACATTTATAATTACTATGTTCAACATACCGAGTTTCAATAGATCGAATAACAAAAATTAATGAAAATTTGAAACATCTAAAATTCATCAGTCATCAACGATAGAGCGGCTCTGGCGCTCGGCGGCCGCTGCCGCGGCACGCTTACAGTTCTATCCTAACCTAACCCAAAGAATTCAACAACCGAAGAAGAAAACCTAAAAAACACAGTAACAAAGTAGACGTTTTTAAATTACACTAGCTAGTACCCGCGACTTCGTACAAAAAAATGGTTTTTAGCCAAATAACTGTGGGCGCATGAAAAATACCTATTATTTTAACATTACAAACAGACATTTCAATTTTATTTATTTGTATAGATTAAACGTTAATCATAGATTTTGAATATATATGTGTAACTGAATATTATACAAAACTAACTGAATCAGAATTAGAATCATAATTTTAGCAATTTATTCGAAGTATTGAAAATCAGAATATCGTGTTTCAGACCGAGAACCCATCGAGCATTTAATTCTTCGAACTATAAAAGTCAAAAACAAACAAATGGCATTTAGGACTTTCGGTAAAATATATTTTGTGAATTTTAATAATAGACATTATAATTCTTGGGTATTATGAAATTCGGACTTTTGAGAATCTGAACACCGAAATTCGGAATAAAATAGAATTTTATAAATATTATGGTATATTTGGGTGTTCCCATGATTTTGATTCATTTCATCTGATTCGTATTAGCCCGCTTTCCTTTGTGGCATTCAATGCCAGTATTACAAAGCGCAAGTGTTAGTATACGCTAATTCGTTATCATGTGGCATAGAAGCATGTACATACAGCGATAGATCAAGCTACAAACATTCTTAGTGTAAGGTAATCTCCTATTGTTCACAAAATCTATAAACAATCATCATCATCAACAGCCTTTAATAGTCCACTGCTGGACATAGACCTCTCCTTAGTGAGGAGGTTTTGGCCTACTATACCAGACGGGTTGGTATAGACGAATTGATAACCTCCTGTTTTATGTTTTTGAAGTCGGTTAAAATATCAAAATCTTTCATTCATACTCAAGCCGCTGTTACCATCCGATTATTCCGATCCATTCGATCCGTGGCTTATTTTAGTATTAGTAGTAGTCATTTAAAATATTTTTATACTAAAGTTTCTTGTCTCGGGACATCGCGTTAAATTCACAATCGATGTAACTCGACTAAAGGACCCACATTTTAGTAAAGCTTTCAGAGCTCCGCGCTAGTCCATTTTTAGTATCTACTTGGGAGTCGTGCGGTAGGGACGTGAAAATGACTGGCGTTGATGAAATAATAAATTATCAAAGGAATCCTGACGATGATTTCTACGCTTTGTTGGGGTGTGATGAGAACTCAACTGTAAGTAATTCAAATCATGTCTTCTTTTTCATTGTATTTAATAACTGTTTCTTGTTCAACTTGGATTTGGATTTCTACTGTATTGATTTGCTCGATTCTGCTCAATGACCTTATTTTTGCAAGGACATTAAGTTGACCTAGTTCTGATAAATGTTATAGTTTGTTTATCTGGACATCTATAAAGTTTTAAAAGCTTCGTGTTTTCAATTTCAAAACTTAGTGCGTAATTGTTTGCTAGCTACGTATATATAATTGTATTGTTAAATGTATGTTACGTCAATGTTGTTTGGATTTTCCCGTGCCTCTTTGTATTTTACCTGTTGACTTCTCAGAAATCGACTTAAAAAAATATTTTTATATTGTTTAAAGAGTTTGTTTGATGTGTTGGAATAATGTGAATGAGTATTACATTTAAAAAACATTGCAGGTCGAGCAAATAACTACGGAATATAAAATTCTAGCTCTGCAACATCATCCCGATAAGAATGATGGTGACAAGGATGCTGAAGTTAAGTTTCAGAAACTGAAGGTAAGGAAAATTTTAGATAAGGAGCCAAAAAGTATTAAGGTGTTTATGTAGTGGTGAGCAGATCATTTTGTCACAAACGCATTGAGAAATTAATCCCTTCAGATACTAAGTTAAGGTAACTTCATTATCAATGAAATATAGTTTTACTCCAGTGTGTATTTCAGTCTCTTATTTATTTATACATCTTTATTGTACACTGCTACAGTATATATTGTACAGACATGGATGGATATCTACATTTTGTACACATTGTGGTATATCAAATAATATAATATTAAAAATTAAATTTGTTTATTTCTAAATTAAAAATAGTTTTTTATACAACCTTGTAGATTGGAAGTACATTCCTTGTTGATTATTAAGTTATTACATTTGAGAGATTTGCCACATTCAAAATAATAAAATTCTAATTTGTCTTGAAAAGATGCAACATATGTTAGCTCTCTGTTGATTTCTCATGGAGAGTATGGTGGTGATCACCTAAGATTTACTATTTAGTAAAAGGATATTATCATAGACAAATATTATAAAGCTGCTCTAATTTTTTGTAAAAAAAGTAATGAATTTTTTTTGTATTAATTAACATAAATTATTTTAACTAAATAAATAAATATGAAAGTTTTTTTATTTGACAGTAAATAATATTATAAGACAATTCTCAAAACAAGCTCTTCAACTTTATAATATTAAAATAGTTAAAACTACTTATTTCCTTGCAAAAATAATTATGAAATTCCTTCCTTAGTCATCAACCTCTAAGCTAACCTTCATTTTGCTTTGTATTTTTTAGTTCTTTCTATCTTCACTATGTATTAGTGAACTTAAATTTTTTTAAATACAAATATGAGCACCATTTCATATAATTGTTATCTCATTGATTCTATGTCTCCGAAGATGAGCCTTACCGAAAGGCTGTATCATCAACAGCCTTTAATAGTCCACTGCTGGACATAAGCCTCTCCTTAGAAAGGCTGTATAGTAAAAATATAAATTTTATTTAACAGGAGGCTAAGGAGACGCTTTGTGATCCATCCAAGCGTGCTCTTTACGACAAGTGGCGCCTCAGCGGCATCGCTATGGGCTACAAACAGTGGCTGGGTATGAAGGATCATGTGCAGCAGTCAATGCACTGGTCAAAGCCCAACACTAAAGATCGCATGTTGGAGGGTGAATGTGGCCGCGCTTCTGGCCCATCAAGCCTGGGTCCGAGTAACCCCTCTGCACGTCGCGCTTCTGAGGGTGGCGCTGCACTCTGGGGCCGCTGGGGTACTGGCAACCAAGAACCTCCTTCTGAGGTCATTTCTAAATTCCGCAATTATGAAATCTAAACCTTAATAGGTTGAGATGATAATAGCCTGGGAATTATTTTGTAGTATGTTCCTTATTTAACTTTGTGTTATTTCTTTGCAAAGAGGTTATTTGTGCCCTAATCTCTTTTTTAATTAATGTACTTAGTTTTTTAAAATACATCCTGTTATTTGTGATATTTTTGTAACCCAGGCTGTTAATTAATTATAACTTGCCATTTCCAGTTTTACAGGTAAAGTAATGTTGTTTTTGAAAATTTATAAGTCTATTAAAATTAAGGATAATTAATTAAATATATAATATATAAGTTATAATAAAGGCACAATATTCATCAGGTCAGCTCGCGGTACGTTTCTCGAATGTTTCTCGTTATTATAAGTAATTACTGTTCTGAGTGTTTGATGTGCAATATAAATGTCTGTATTATGTTGTATGTAGAAACAAGTTACAAGTTTGAAACCCCCATTCCAGAGTGACGTAGTGTAAAACACTCTTAGATGTTACCCCTAGATGTAAGCTGTGCACATTCCTGATAAACTTATGAGTCTGATTTATTACATTTCTGCTAATGACATCTAATTAAAGAATCTCGATATTTTGAAGATTTATATTTTTGATCCTCTTTATCTTACTATAAGTATGATATTATTTTTAATGAGAATGAGAGTTGGCAGACGTTGTTGTGAGATGTATACAGGGTATCGTTGCGAGACAGGGCTTTATTTATTTTACCTTCTGCAACCTTGACAATTCTACTTTCTATTAATGTTATAATGATCTACACAAACCATGTACTCCTATTGGTTCCAACATAAATGTTGTGTTAAATGTTAGTTACGTAGATTTTAAATGGTATTATATGTGTTAAATGTTTGATCAGTATTTACTTTATGTATTTAAAATATATAATTAAATGTTAAATGGGTAGCTGAATTTTGAAATTTAATGTTTTGTCTCGATAAGAATTTTGACAAGCTCACTTAGCTTGTATTTATTAAGCCAAATGTATTTTATTTTTGACTAATATGTAATTCACTTTAGAACAATAAACGTTTGCTGGAGAATTGTTTTTATTATATTCTATTTCGCCCTTTAGGTAAGACTGAGAGTATTTAAACTTTTATTCTTATCTATTATATTTTTAGGGTCGGTTAGGTAGGTTAGACAGAGAAAAGTAGATCATCATCATCATCAGCCTATCGCAGTCCACTGCTGGACATAGGCCAAATGGAAATAGGAGAAAAGTAGATTTCCAACCCAATATGATGATCTCTTGCATCACCATTTAGTAGTTGATAAATAGCACTTAATCATCTGGTCAAGAGTGAAAGAGCGGTTCGGTCGTGTATTGGGTAGGAAATTATGGTGCGTAAACCCGTGATCGATACTAAGTGGCAGATCGTCCCTAAGGCAAAGTTATTTAAAAAAATATATATATGCCTAACATAAAAAGAACTGTCAGTAAGTATGCACATACTTGCACAATATAAAAAATTCTTCAATTCTATAGAGATGTTAAGGTTGTCATCTAGGGTTTATATTACGTATTCACTACTTCTTCGCTTTCCTTTTCTGATACACACAAATGCAGTTGCTACAATTGCAGCTGTAGCTGAGATTAGTCTGTAAGTTGTAGTAATAGACCAGGGCCTCGATGGAATGTCGTCGGAATAGTTTTGCACTTTTCCTATTCTAATAACAATGTAAGACCACTGGCATTCCGATGACTTCTCACTAAGACAAATGTCGGCGATGTAAAGACATCGAAGTGGAAGAATGTACCTTTGTAGCAGTTTGGTAAACGGTACATTTTAAATTTGTAAGAAAATTATATATTTAATTTTCCAGGTATGGAAATGGTGTTGATATCACCATTGATGACCTATGTTACTCGTACTATATCGACAGACTATTTTACACTGAATTTATGTTAGTAGAATACTGATATTTTGACCGATATCAATGGGGTCTTAATGGCATCTCAATAGCGTGTCAATGGAATCACAGTGGCTTGGCGTTAACATAAAATAGCAGAATTGAGGCCTAGGTTTCTGCAGTCAATGACGCTATACGGTGTACCGGTGTGGGTGGAAGTTCTGACCGCCCAGAAAAAGGCGCGCCTCTTACACCCAGAGGGTGGTGGACGGCTTTTGTCCTCCACTCTGCACTAAGGTCTACCGCGATCGGAACCTGTCCGTGTTCAGGAGGTGACGTCCTCGTATGGCGGACGTCTTCTAAATGAGGGTTTTTCACATTGGAGGTTTCCACACGTAAGAAAATAAAATAAAAACAGTTTTAGTAAAGAAAGCGCTGCGCTGTCAGGTACCCAGTACGTCTTCTCGAAGTGGAAGAGTTATTTTTACGGTATAAGGGGGCAAACGAGCAGACGTGTCACCTGATGGTAAGCAACTATGAACACCTGCAACTCAAAAGGCACAGGTGCGTTGCTGCCCTTGGAGTCCCTTCCACTCGAGTCAGCGGGAGGCGGGATCTGGGCTCCGGTAACCTCACTCACTCAGTGAAAGGCAACGAAATAATTGCTTAACACCGTGTGAGGCCGTGGTATCACTCCGGTCGAGCCGGCCCATTCGTGCAGAAGCATGGCTCTCCCACGTCTAAAAAGAGCGTTTCTTTTATAAGATAAATAAGATGTTGAATTCCACACATTTACTTCGGATTATGGACAGAAGCATATCCTTTTCGAAATATCCTCGGGCCGTCACCCCACTAGGGTTTACAGCGCGGTGGTGTGTCAGAATCGGACCGACTTAACCCACACGGAGTGCCACTCTGCGCCTGAAATAGTAATGCGGGAACTGCTGTTATTAAGACATGCGGATCACAGAAGAATAGCCTAGCGGAGCCTTCCTTCGCCAATAGCCGTCACGAAGTCTTATGCCTGTTGCGCCTCCGCTAAACACTCCAGCAGTGTGGTGCAGTGTTCTTGCATCCGTCTCCTAGCCTATACGACTACATTATTTATTGAGCAGTCCTGCCCGACGAGAATCCGTGTGATCCGGTAGAAGAAGCTGCCATGTCACCGGCGCAGCTTTGACCAACTGAACCTAGAAAAAATTAAATGTCACCGTAAGTTTAGCAGGTATAAACATGCCCTAAGAGATTTTTAACGCTATGAGGATAATGAAGATAGATACAAATAAAATATTTTCTTCTTTCTTTCTTTCTAATGTGTTAAATCATTCCACGTGTAGCAACTCCGTCATCATTATTACCTACAAAACATGAATTGATAATTTAAATTAAAGTGTATTAGAAATTGTACATGTAATGTTATGTAGAACCAGGATATATCAAGGGTAAGCTTAAAGCAGTTGGTTAATGGCATGAATTAAATAAGGCTAAATGAGCTGACAGAAAGCAACCACAATAAATTTCAAAATATTTTTAATTAAAGTACTTAATACGTCTGCTATGTCCCGTGATCTGTTGCTTGGTTTATGAAAAAACCAGCTAATACAAACACGCACTAAATTGATGTTTGCAAGTCAGTTACACTGGCAAGCGTCAATTGCTATCATTATAATAACAGGAGTTCAAATTAGTCTAAGTTAATATTAATAAGTTTTTAATCAGACAGTTATGTAAGTATGTAAATTAATAAAATTCACTCGCTGTAGTTGGTAACGAACTAGTAGGTATTTTACATTTTCAGAGATACTGATGTCTTGCACATTTTTTCTTCTTTTAGCCTTTAAAAACTTTTTAAAAGCCTTTAAAGCCTTTTTAATCGTCTTGGTCTAGTTAAGCACCTTGGTACTCCTATCTGTATCCAAGTTAAGTTTCTTTTCAAAAGAATAATATATGTCTTTCAACTTTGTATTCAAATTAGTAGTAGATAATGAATATAACACATACCTAAGCTTTACAAAGTCATCAACGAAAAGGATAATCCGAATAGGTTCTTGGTGTGTGTGTCCAGCTCCGTGTGAAATGAGAGCTTCGTTTATATTAGAGCTGTTTTGTTTAAATTAAACGAAAATTGATTTACTAGAAATAAGAGAGTAGGTACCTGCACAGACTGAGGTAAGCCGAATTTTAGATTCGAAATTATCATTGTATGTACATAAATTAGTTAGACTTGCGATGAAAACGAATTTATTTTATGTACCTAATTATAGCACTAGTATTGGATAACTAGTTTCTTACGATTGATTTATCAATCCAACTAATCAAACCTCAGAATTGAAGAATTTCATTTGTATTCGTTTTAAAATGAAATAGAAATAATAATTGTTATCTATAATAACTAGATAAGAAATGAAAAGTATTCAAATAATGATTGTTTGTTTACTGGTCCAGTGGTTAGATATTTTATTTTAAATTTATTTTGAAGCAATTATCTGTTTATATTTTTTATAATTCAAGTACCTACAAACTAATTGACGGGCCTGTTGGTCTAGTGGTTAGTGACCCTGACTGCTAAACCCGAGGTCGTGGGTTCGATTCCCACCCAGGACAAATATTGTGTGATGAGCACGGTCATTTGTTCTGTATGTGAGTGTAATATATCTATAATATGTTTCTAATGAAAAATAAATATGTATGTTTATCAGCAGTCTGGTTCCCATAGTACAGGCAGGAGATGTGTGAGATATATTATATTATTATTAATTAAGTCCCTCCCCTATACCGCGCAACTAGTAGGTACCGGAGAATACGCTTAAGTAATTTTTGACCATGCCCCATGTGTTTGTTCTCGCGCGGACATTACTTTATTTATAATAGGTAGTTATATCCCTAACTCTGTTTAGAGCTCTACTTAATTAATATCCCACGTGCCTGTGATGGGGCAGCCGTTACAGTATTCGTTTCTTTAATCAGTTGAGTATTTCGGGCAAACGGTTGATAAACCCACTGCGCCCAAGCCTGGGATGACACCTCAGAGCTTTAATTTTTTTCATTTTCATTTAGTTCTGAACACTACTTATACATTGTATTGCAATGTTTACACTTAACCTGTTTTACATCACAATTGATGGATTTTATGAATCACTTGAGA